TTCGGATCGATCTATGAATTATAGAATATATTTTTATTTATATTTTATACTTCGTAATAAATGTAGGTGTTTTTGGATCGTGCACGAGTATTCTACGGTTGATTGCACCCGACTGCAACAGTCTGGCCCTATCTTGTGGCAACTAGCGCTGCTTAAGGTTGCATAAGCCTAATTGAAAACAGTTGCAAATAAATATATTAGCTTTGAAATGTACTTGTAATAGAAGTACTCTTATCTACGTATAAAATACTTTCCGGCTAAGATGTCAGATGAATGCAATTGCTCAGTTTGTGCCCAACAAATCGCTCGTTGGTCACTTATTTTTGCCCAGTTGTCTTTTCAATTACCATAGCAAGGGCGAATAAAAAAGCTTTACCAACTGCCGAGTTGATCTCCCTTAGTGCCGCGCTCCGCCCAATCTCCGCCTTCCGCCTTCAGTCGGACCAGTGGCCAGTCGGACCTTTGGCCCATTGCGTTACAAGTGCAAATTAGTCGAGAGTGCCAACAAATTTAACGAGCAAATTTACACTCGAGCAGCGGCCACGACCGGAATCCAGTTTGGAGCAGCGACTTGCAACTGGCTTTGCCGTTGCCGTTGCCGTTGCCGTTGCCGTTGATGTTGCCTCTGCCTTTGCCTTTGGTTTTAGTTCTGGTATGCTTGGTTACGGTACGGTCCGTGGGTTCACTCGACTGTCTGCCCGGACCGTTCCTCCCGGACTGACCTGCTCCACGAACTGTTTGCCAGATCAAAATGGAACTTTTGCCACGCCAGCCAGTTGTAAATTTTCTGTGTTTGCGTTTCCGGGCCTCGAGGCACCTCGCTCCCTCTCCCTTTCCCTTGCTCCGTCTCTTTCTCTGAGTGTTGTGTGTGCCTGTTTTAATTTAGGGAACACAGCACAGCAATTGCCCTCCTCTCTGTAAAAAAAAACCGAGCCCCTGGAACCTTTGCTTAGCTCGCAGTGTCTTATTACGGCTCCACTTGGTGTTGGTGGGTCGCGGGGCACTTTGATAGCACGGCCTGCCTGCTGTGCGTATCTGTGCAAATTGTTTGCCACATCGCCACGCCCACCTCATGGCATGCCTTGCCATGTCACGACCTGGAGCATCTTTTATGAGAGTTTTCTTTGAATTTTACCGTTGGTCCGAGAGTATTTTGAAGCGTTGCCTCTCGGCTCGCTATGCTCGGAATGGAGCCGTGTGTGCTTGGCGTGTTCAAATTGAATCAAATATTGCTTTCAGGCAAGTCGCGCGGTCATTAGATCTGGTAATGGGCCTGTTCAACGGATGCTATCGTGACACGAGCTCATGGAATGCAAATTTGAGTCTGTCGAGATAAATAACGTGCAGCTTAACCTAACACGACTCAAGCTTAAACTATTCCATTGCCAAATATTGTGGAGCACTTGAAGTGCGTGAGACATCGGCACAGCGCAGAGCGTCCATCGCTAATTGGGACTGCAGTGTCCTGTGGCGGGCTCTCTGACTTTTGACCTTCTCCATTGGGTCGTCAAGCGTCAGCTTAGGCAACAGCTGAGCTCTGCCTGGCAACACAAGTGGACGCGGGCTTGAGTCCCGGTCTGGGTGAAAGACCCAAGTCAGAATCCGAATCTGGGCCACCTTCAGCTTGCTGCGTCTGCTGCTGGCCAGCTGTGAACCCATGTCAACTTTAATTGAATTTGATAGAACAAATATTTAGCAGCATCGCGCACCATTTACACCCGGCACACTTGGGAGACAGAGCTCCCAAGTGCCCCCCCCCCCTCTGCATTCCCTGCTGCAAGTCAAGGCCAAACAACAGTTGTAGCAGGAGGAGGAGGAGGAGGAGGAGGAGGGTAGGCTAGTGTAATCAATAAATTGCTATGTCATAATTAAGCTTAATATATTTATGCTTCTCTTTCTGTTCGTTTCTTTTTTCACTGAATACTTCATTCCGAATTTCACGCACTTCCACGGAAAATCGTTTTCTTTGATGCTCGCTTCGAAATTCTTTTGCCGTATGTCGAATCTGCACTCTAAAAGTGCTCAAAGATTCAGCTTTAGTATATTGAATAGCCTTTAATAATAATTGTAATTGCCAACAAATTCCGATTCAGATTTTGGTTACACAAAATCCCATCCGGAAGTCTGTAAAATAATTTGACAAATTTCTGAAGAAAGTTTTTCTTGAACTTCAACTTCAACTTAAATTTTAAATTTTCTAAAAGGATATTAGAGCTGAGCCGAGCAGCGCCGGTCAGTGTCCACCAGCACTTTGCTTGTGAAGGCAGCTAACACTAATAGGATTATTAAGTCAGATACCTTGTTTGTATGTCGACTCTGCTTTATGCATTCGAAAAATGTTTCAAATATGGCAAATATGGGCGAAGTTTATCGAAAGAATCGGAAGCTGCAATGGTATGTGGCATGTGGCATGCGGAATGTGGCATGCAAATGAGTAAATCAAAAGTGCTGTCTTTTTTCTGCTCCTCTCTGCTCTGCTCTGCTCTGCTCTACTCTCTTCTGCTCTGTTCTGTTCTGCTTTGTTCTTCAACTACTGCGCCCGAGCTGCAGCTCCTTCTGTTTTTCCATTCCGTTTGCTTTCGTTATTAAATTGCCAGCCACATTGCGCACACTGGGAAGTATTTATTAAGTCATAAGCTCCATCTCCTGCTACAGCTCCTGCTCCATTCCCATCTCCATCTCCATTTCCAGCTCCATTTATAGTCAGCAGCAGCACCCACACTTGTATTCACACTTGTATGCACACTTACACCCACATTCACACTCGCCACTCTCTCTCTGTCTCTCTCTCTCTCAGTCTCTCCTGTTCGCTCCCTCTCTCCTTGTCCCCTTCGATACACACATTACAGAAACGCACTCAGATGAACGTAACAATGCGGCTACTGGAACCACACGCTGCACAGTGGTTCACAATGCTCAAATGAGTGATCAAATTGCGATAATCTAAGCCTTAAATATACCCTAACTAACAGTCCATATTAGCTCTCAATGTTGTGATCAACGAACTTCTATCAAATTGCTTGATCTTGAGAAAGAAAGAGAGAGAGAGACAGAAAGACAGAGACAGAGAGAGAGATAGAGAGAAAGACAGAAAAACAGTAGGGGTTAGAGAAAGAGAAAGAGAAAGAGAGAGAGAGAGAGAGAGAGAGTAAGTACTATGCGCGCCCTGTTTTGTAACGGTACATGGCATACCTAAGCACAAGACCCTTAAATGATGCCAACTAGTGTTAATATTATATAAGTGAGCATGCTCAACTCTATATTTTTTATTTATATTTTTAGTATTATATTTTTCGAATTATATTTAAAATTTAGTTAGCTTGCTCCACTGTGCGCGAAATGCATTTCACACCTGCTCCAAAAAGGGCAAAAGACCAGCAGGTGCCACAGTGGCACACACAGCTATGGCAAACGAAGGCAGAGGATGCAATGCAAACACACACACAGTGTGTGTTTGGCTTGTGTGTGTGTGTGTGTGTGTGTGCGCATACACATGCAAATGTAGTGTGTGTAAACATATATGGTGTTAACAATGAACACCGAACTTTATGCTGCCAAGGACTCCAGCGCACTTGCACGTGCACACACACACACACACACACACACACACACACACACACACCTGCACACACATACATATATATATGTAGTTGGTTGCTTGCAATTGCAAAGCGCAAACTTTGCGAATCTTAACGATTTGCTTATTGTTCTTTCTCCATTGGCATTTACTGAGTATTTTTTAAGTTTGCCATTACGTGGGGCACGCTGTCTGTGGCGCCGACACTGTGCGGCAACTGGCAACAGCAGCAGCAGCAGCAGCAGCAGCAGCAACGGCAACGGCAACGGCTGTGTGGCACGACCCTGACCGCAGCGACGAAACCGCCTTTGCCACGCATCCGTGAGTCTCGAGCCATTTTACACACACACATGCACACATATGTGCAGCGTCTAACGGAACTGCGCTCCTACTTTAATTGTTTCGCATGTTGCAGCCACACACACACACACGCACACACTCTCATGGAGTACACACACAAATTAGCTTTCAATTAAAAAGTCTTTAGAAGCAGCATAAAAAGCTTTTAGAGAAAAGTTATCGAAATTGTCGATAAGCTAGTTCGATAAATATATAATATATATATATATACTATATATATATAAGACTGTTGACTTCAGATCTGTTGTCTATTGGCGTAAGCTATTATAAATTATAAATCTCATTTGAATTCAGGATGCTCAGCTGTCAAATGGCAACTGGTATACCCTGCAATCGATGCAGAGAGCAGGGTATATTTGTTTTAGTGCTGTAGTCAAATGAACGCTAGTCTAGCATGTCGCCAAGTGGCTTGCGAGTCGAGCATGCCATTAGCCGCGCATTCTCGCAGGGCATTCAAACAAAAGCTTAGCATTAACTAATTTAATTATGCGGCCAAATTGCAGCGTCAGTTGTTGTTGTTGTTGTTGTCGTGCTCGCTGCATAAATCACTTTGTGGCAATGGAAAGGGGCGGGACGGTATGGAGTGGGCGAAGGATAACGCTGAATGGCATGAAATGTCTTTGACGGCGGGATATCGCGATTCCGAGCCATTGACTCAAATTTGTCAAGGCGGCGAGCCAGCCATGGCCGAGGCCACGCCCACTAAGCTGACTAAACTAAGCGCGTTGCGGACATTAAACGGAACTGAAACGCACTGCTCGGGGACTCTCTCTCAGGCAGAACAATGGCAGGCCAAGCTGCGTCTAGACGGCCTGGCAAAGGCAAGCTAATAAACTTCCACATTTCCGACATCAGCTTAAGCGGCATTAATGACGCGTTGGCGTCCAAATGATTTATTAACAGTTAGCTCTTCCCGCTGATGAAGCTGTCGTCTGACACTCTCCGTGTGTGCATGAGTGTGTGGAGCGCCTTATCAAATGTCATTAAGATTGCTGCCAAGATTATGCCGAAGGCAGGCCAACTATAGGTTCCTCCATGGAACCCTCCTCAAAAATCAAGTGAATTCTGAATCGATTTATATTTTCCATTTAGAGAAGATATTTCATATTGTATGTATGTAACTATGCCAGGCATTATGGATCGATGCTCATTGGTCGTAATTAGCTTAGAGACTGTTTACTGCCCTTTCAGTTGTTGTGGATACCGGAATCTCGGGATTTAGGCCAAGTTCTGGCATCGGAGTGAGTAATTTGGGAAAATGATCCAATTTATGCTGAACATCAATTACTTTGCAGCACTGGACCAGTCCATAGACGGGATAGTGGCGTAATCTGCTGAAGAGACTCTTCTGTAGCCACGGCACCTCGTGGCAGATGCTCTCGCATAGACCGTTGCGCTCTCTGGTCGTGAACTGTAAAGTGCATTGGAATTGAAATAGTTTGAAAAGCAAATAAAGCAAAGTTGTTAGCACTCACGAAGGGTGAATTGTGGGCAACGAGAACGAACTCATCTGTGCCATTCACAGTTGGCTCCACTGGGCGAACATGTGCCCAGATGTGTGCCGGCACGTTGACAGTATCTCCCGAGTCCAGCTCAATGGACAGTGTGCGGTTATCATCGCAGGCATGCAGCGTGGGCATGACAATTGTACCGGAGACACCGACATTGACATCATATTTGGCATCAGCGCTCGCATCCCTGAGGGCGTTCAGAAAATGGCGCCAATTGCCGTTGCGCAGGGCTCGCAGCCAAACAATTGAAAGCATATCCTGGAACTGATCGAGGTCACTTCTAAGGGCATCATCCTGAATTAGGTTGGCATATTCGAAAGTGTCGCTGCCGAACAGCGTCTTCAGATGTTTGTCTTTTAAGAATGCCTCATGTATGTTGAGCGAGCTGCAAAAATGTAAATTCTTAATTCAACCACTAATTTCGCTACTCGGCTGTAGATGGCGCTAGCCACAGCGGACAGTTGAGTTGAGTTTGAACCGTTGACACTATGATATCCTTATCCTAATCATATTCATTGCATACCTGAACGACTTGAACAGATTTTTGCTATAGATCACTTCAATGTCCAGACCTAAGTGGTTGAGCTGTCCCACTTCTGACTGTAGAAAAGATGTGCTTAGCACATTTATTATGAAAGAATATGCTGAGGGCTGATCTTACCTGTTCTATCAGCTTGATTTTGGGTGGATATGCCGTGTAGCTAACATACTTAAGCTGCTGCTTAACAATATCGTAGCATATGGCAACACTTTTTATTGAGCCATATTCTCCAAAGGTCTGGCCAACAACAAGACTCATGTATTCATTGCAGGCCGCCATAGACGTGGAGCTCTCATACATGGGGTAAATCTGATTGTCCATGCATTTTAAATTAACAATCTGAATTTCCTCTGATTGCCACAATGTATGAAATTCGTCGCCATAGCAAGTCAAGTTGATGCGTTTTTGTTCATTCAACAAATTATATTCAACATTGCTAAATTTAAACAAGATTGTACATCAAGTCCTATCAATTGGTTAACAGAGATACACTTGACATACGAATTTATGCTGAATCCTTTACTACAATACAGATCAATTGATTCATAGTTGTCCCGGGATATCGTCGTCGCCTCTGTGAGCCAATGCTTCGATCCAAAATGAGTTATTATTTGCGGTTTAGGGAAATGAGTTTCGAGTACACAGTACGCATCCACGGCCTCGAATACCAGCGCAAGACCGATCAAGCCCAGAATGAAAACATTCAACGATTTCATCACGGCGAATAAAAAAGTACTGTGTAGCAGCTGCCTAGACTCAGCTTCTTTTATAGCACTTTTAATCTATCACACAAGGCTTCATACGCCTGAATATAATATATTTGCTTATTCAGCAGTCTGTCGAGCATCATAAGGCCAGGCTATTTATACACAAAGGTCAGTCTAATCAGGCACATAATATATATATATATATATATATATATATATATATATATTATATTATTATATATTCCCATTTAATTAAATAAAAACATGATTGAAATGCAGTTAATACATTATATCTCTCTTAAGAGCTAGAGCCTCCAAATTTTGTATTTCGTTTTATGCAATTTTGATTATTGTTGTATTTTGAATACCAGCTCAAAATTTCTCCAAATTCTTTAAATTTAAGTTCTGTTGGAAATAGGGCCATTATGTGAATTTCAAATTTCCTTAAAATCCATTAAGTAAAACCGAAGTTATTCAACAAAGCGGCGGGGCTGCGAGAGGCGACGCTCGTAAGCAGTAATCTTTGGGTTCGAGTCCTTGGGTCAGTTTTTATTTGTTTTATTGTGATTGAATACTCTATACAAACTACAGAAAGAATTAAAAAAAACGCAGATAGTACTGCGATAAGCTGCCCAGATCAAATGCCCAAAGCACTCTGAGGCAGACACGTGCTGCGCTTGATTCCGAGATAACCGCAGCGCCATGCAGGTTGAATGCGCTGGCCTCGCTGGGCGTGATTATGCCACAATTGCGTCTGCTGCTAGTGTTGATTTGCGCATTGCATTTAATTTCGATTGTGCTTCTAACTTATAAATATAAACCCAATCCCTTCAGGTATCTCTTTCTTAGCTTAACTTTTTCGTTTTTGAACTGCCTTGGTATGGTATCAATCCGCCTTCCAGCGTAGCTTCTACGATTACAATAAAATAGTCTCAGATTGCTATTGAAGCAAACAGCATCCATTCCATCTGCTCCTACACCTTCAGTTGTAGCTCTCGTATCAAGCAACGCGTTCACTTGAGACGACTCCTCGGGAAATTGCTGCATTCGAGATCAATGTTCCAGTTGATTAATCTCAAATTTTGGCCTCTTCAAGCCTATGAATCGTAGTAGATCTATCATAGACCATATCATCGAAACCCACTTCTCAGCAGTTCTCCTCGACTCATCAAAACGTTGGAGGCCCAAGCACTTTTTGCTTTAACGGAACCGTGGTTAAGTCCTACTCATTATAAGAGTGAGATCAATGACTGAACGTCGAGCGCGTCTTATCTTTTCTCGTCACTCCATGATAGTTAGAATTATACGTAGATAATTATGGGAAACTGCGGGCTTTCTATGGTGCCACAGGTCGTATGGAGTCATTGGATTGTCACCAAAATGAAATAGGTTGCAGCTGCAACCCAGAACCCTTTGTACAAGCCTGGTAAAAGCTCTTTAAGTACTCATTCTGGCTCTTAGAATATCATGGCTCTAGATATTTATGCGATTGTTTGAGTGTTGAGCTCAGGGTGTGCCCGAGTTGGTCAGATTCAATTAAGGCACGCTCAGCTTACTGAGTTGTCCTTAGTTCAGCGAGGGAGCACTGTACTTAACTGCACTCATTGTGCAACTGATATGTCGAGCATTATCCACGCTGACATCCCATGCAAACTCTAATTGTAGCTGCTGCAGCTGTAATGCCACCCACTCAACCACTCAACCACTCAACCACTGACCCTCTCCATCTATCCGCTTAACCGCCCCAAGCTGACCGCAGGCGATTTGAAATCATGCAGATGCGTATATTGCTTTGCGGTTGGGCGGTTGCTTAACCACTGCAGCAACTGTGAGCTGTGTGGTGCAGTATGGTTCAGTGGGTGTGGCCGGGTGTGTGTATGGCCTAGGTAGCCGGCAATTACTCATTGCGTATATGTCGCTAATTAGACGCAAGTGTTGTCGATAATGAAGTGGCGCTTTGTGCACGGCTAAAGCATTATGTGGGCACGAGGCAAGGACAATCAGGACGACGCCGGCGACATATGGCTGGGCGCTGTTTAAGCTGTAAAGCACGTCGCCAGACGTGGCGCTCGCATTACACAGCGCACGTCTCGCCGATAGCTTCTGCTGGTGCGCGTGCTCCATTGTCCTAGCGCCATCTAAATGGCTCTGTGTGATAACTTTTTTGTTCGCCCTGGCTCCCGAGTAAGTTTAACAAAACGAAGCTAACCAAGCAAGCAAGCAAGCAACCCACCAGCCAGCCCATCCGACGCACGTGAACAATAGTGAAAACGAAGAGAACACACAAACTTGCCGCGGGTAAACAGTCCAACTAGTCGAGCTTATTAACCAAGGTCTAGGCTCCCCTCCACGCACTTCCAAACTGGCAACATAAATGCCCGCCCAATCGCCTGGCCAGCTGCTTGATAGGCAAGCAGCTTGTGGAGCATGCGCGACAATAGTTTTTATGGATTACCAGATGTTCGGGCGGATCAAGCAGCAATAGGAAAGAGAGCTGAATCGAGATCTACCGGTCAAAGAGAGAGAGACAGAGAGAGGGACAGAGAGAGAGAGAGAGATGTAGAGTATCTGCTGAAAAGTCCAAGGTTCCTTTTGAACAACGGAAACTCAGGGAAAAACTTTATAGGAGAGAAGTCATTAAAGTATTATAATAGGAGTTTCACTGGTTTGTCCTTGTGCACTACTGGCGGCAAGTCTGCCTATCCAAAGTTGATAAACAACCCTCGTATTTCATCTCAGCAACATTTTTCGGCCATCCATGACGTGCCTCCGCTCGTTCATCCATCCGTCCGTTCGCTGTCTTGTCCGCATGCCAGCTCACGTGCTGTGTGCCCCCTCCGTCCACTGAGGTCTGCGACAAACATGAGCCTCATCCGCATCTCGAATCTCGCATCGCCCGTCCACACGACTGAGGCAAATGGCGTGCACGAAATCTCAATGCGTGACGCCCTGTTGCGAAACAGAAAAAAACGAAAGGAAATAAATATTTTGATAAAATTAAAACGAATAGCTACGGATTTTTATTTACTTGGCAACAAAAAAAGAAGAAAAAAAACAATGATGATGAAATTCCCATTTCAGAACGAACATTTTTGGCACCACTTTCAATTTCTCATATGCAATGTGAATAAGCCCGACCTGAAAAGCGTTTGAAGTGAACTAACTTTGTATGGAATGTGGTTTCACATAAAAGTCTAACATGATGGACTAGTCCGACTGTTTGTAGACGTATAGATGCCTTCGGGAATATAGAAGACTATCAATACTTGAACTCTGTTGCGATCGATTGAGGGAAAGTAAAAATACAAAACTTGCTGTCAATTGAATACGAAGGACGAACACGATACACTCTTCGGGTTATATGCATCGCATCGATCGGTTAATAATCCTTAAATTACTTAAGGTTCTTATGAGACAGAAGCATGCTTGCTTAGCTCGTTTATCTAGATCGAGTCGAAAGGTCGAAAGCTTGCAGACTTCATCCATGGCTCTAGTTATAAAACAAGTTTACTTAGAATCGATAAAATGTTATCGATCTTGCATACATAGAGCTTCAATTCGTATAGGATGCGTGTGTATGAGCGCAGCCGATTATCTCTACAAACTGTGGCACGGTATCTGCTAGTCGAGCATGCCCCACTCGCTCGTACCGCTTTACTCGTTTCGGATTGTCCTTTTGTCGGCCGCTGGTGTCGCCTTTTGTAGTTTTTATTGCCCGTCTGTCAATATCCGGCGGCAGATTTCGCCCCACTTGGAGCGACAAATTTGGCTGGATTCTCGGCGCTCGCCCTTTGATTCCATTTCCCGTGCGGCACATAAGTAATGCAACTGAATGGAGCTACCAGACTGCTGGCTGTGTCGTTGTTTGCATGCTACAACTTTAAGGATATGTGGCCATAAACAACTGAACGTAAAATGCCAGCTCCCAGGGCCTCGGGGATGCGACCCATCGCAACCGCCTCTCGCGCCTGCCCGTGCGCCGGCTAGCTGTGAGCGTGCGGATATGTAAAAAAGGCAAAGGATAAGGCAAAGGATGCCTGAGAGGTGTGGCGTTTGGGATGTGTCGCTGGGAATGTAACCGTAACCGTAACCGTAACCGTTGCCCTTGGCTACGCACAATTTGAATTAAATTGCACTCGACGCATTCTGTGTGCCTGCAAGGACATCCAAAGGACTCGCACTCCAGCAACGACTTAACCAACATGCCAGGATTCAATTAATTCGAGGACACTCTAGCCACATGCAACTGCTGCTGCTGCTGCTGCTGCTGCTCCTCTCCCAGCCATTTGTACACAAATAATCAAGTTAGCCACGTTAAGAGCTTCAATTTAATATGTTGCCAAATTGGCTTTTACATGACAGCCAATGGCTAAATAAACACACACAGATGTCCTTTGTCCATTGTCAGCTTAGTTTTCAACAAATTCTTGAGCAAATGCCGAAACTGCTAAAACTTTGCCAAGCTTACGAAACTTCACTAATTAAGTGTACTCGAATGCAATGCGATGCGGAATTTGGATTTGGATTTGGATTTGGATTAACAAATTGTATTTTACGAAATTTAACAAATCATGCGATGACAGTCCTGGACAGTTGAGCTCTTTAAGTAACCCAATCCAGTATCGATCTGACTGGAACAGTATTGAACCCTCCCTCGTCTCCATTTATCTAGTAGTCCACAGCCTGTGTCACCTCCTTCCCGACTTACTATTTCTCTTTCCACTCCCAAGTTTTAGTTCAAGTCTTTGCTCGCACTCTGCTTCGGGTTATGATTAGATTGTGCCAGCAATTGCTTTAGTTTTGAAGCACATATCATATTTATACATATATCAATTGCTTCAGTGCAGTGCAGCCTTGGCTTGCCTCTCTTTTCTGCCTGTTGCCGTAATTGCATTGCGGTCGAGCGTAGCAGACAGCATAATACTCGTTCAAGAACAGCTTAGATAAAATATAGTTATAATTTGCAGTTGAATTAGTTGGGGACATGACAGACGTTGATCCTTGCTCTGAATATAGTCACGTTCCCAATGCATGAAAATACAATTTTGATCAAAGCCAGAAACTGAACTGAAAAGGAAACCAAACGGAACTTTTATTGGAGACTACAAAATACAAAAGAGAACTGGCGCCACCTGTGGTTTAATTTGTGCATTACAAAATATATATATATTGATTGTTATGGAGCTAGGGAGGAGCTGTCGAGTTTGGTTTCGGCTTTGGCTTCGGTTTCGGTTTTGGGTCCTCCATTTGCGACTCGGACTGGCTGATGGAGGGCATCTCGGAAATGGAATAGGAGGGGCGATAGATGCGCTCGTCGAATATATCAATGTCCTGCACAGAAATGCTCTTCACTAGCGTCGTATTCGGCAGGATGGAATACTTGGCCAGCCGCTCGCCACGCTCGCTGGCTATTGTCTCCGTGCGTAGATGCTCGGCTCCGTCGCGTGTTATCACGCACAGATCGATGTTGGAGCCGGAGCCCAGATCGTTGAACACACCAGCGCTAATTGCCTTGCGCACCAGCTGCTTGCCATCCTCCAGATTCAGAGTGGGACTCCAGCCCTGCTCCAGCACAGCCATGGCAGCCAGCGTGCCAGAGCCCATCGCTGCATAGGGTATCTTGTCGATGGAGCCGCACGGATGAATGCAGTTTATGTGCGGCCCATACTTGTCCACCCCGCCCATGACTAGGGCGGCACTGATGTGACCCTGGTAACGAAACAGTGTACGCCGCAGCATCATGCTGGCGCAGATCAGCGGCACCTGGCGACCCGTATTCAAGCCATGCAGGTCCAGCTCAGCGGATGTCATCAGCGTCATCTGTTCCGTGTCAGCGGCGGTGCCTGCTCCGCAGCAGCTGTGAAGAGCAAATGAGACTGGGCTTGACCGACCAAGAAACACCTAACGGACCTCAATGACCTCTCGCTTGGAGGCGTTATCGGAAAATGCAAAATGTTGTGACTCTAGCCTAAAGATGCTTGAGATATGCTCAAGAAAACTGAAAGTCTGATCGATTATTCGAAACGTGACTGTAAGGTTTGTGAAGCTCTTAAAGGTTCAAGGCTTGTCGCTTTTATACATACGGACAGACGGACAAGATGAAGAGGGGTCGACAGTTCAGCTCGTTCGTCGGACATCTCAAGGAAAATCCAGACCATTCAATAAATTCGGGGCGTGGCAAGAGATAGATGCAAAGATAAAGGCAAAAATGTCCTGTTTAGTTGGCTTACAAGATGTGATCCTGCAGGCGATGTATCTTCGAGCAGTTCTTGTCCGACACAATGGGTCCCTCAGTGGCGCGGGTGTCGGCACCGAGTATGACCCCATCCTGGTAGATGATGCCCACGATGGATGTGCCCGTGCGCACTGCCAAAGGCGGCTGATACCCGTTCTTGAGCAGCTGTGCATTGCTTTAAAGATGAGATGAGCGAGATGGAGTGTTAGCTAGATGGAAAGCGGCTCTAGATTTACCGTCTGGCATTGACGAAATTAAAGGCGCATCGCATTTCCTTGTCCTGAAAGTCCTGTGCCTCCAAATACGACAACATGTTGTATGATAGACAAAAAAATTTGAATTTATTTTTCGATTCTCTACTCAATTTCTGGCGCTCTCAATAGAAACTGATGTAGATATGATTAAAAAAAATTCGTATGGCTAACAATACCAGGAGCAGGCATCGCCTACCTAATGACTAATTGCCTCAGCCCGCAGCAGGACGAGGGGCGCAGCTTACGGCTGAGGAAGCAGCGAAGTCATAGCAAGCGAAATCAATTTCAATATTCAATTGATAAGAGTGCTTGAACCCACCCATCTCTCTCTCTCGTACACACTCTCTCTCTCTCTCTCTCGCCAATTGCTTCATTTATGTGACACATGGCAAACGCCCGAGCTGAAGCTGCTGGTGAGTAAGGGAACTCTTCGTATGTAACTAATAAACCCAATGAATAGTGAAGAATGGCTTTCGTGTAGGTATGCCGGAGAGCGTGTTGGAGCTGTGGCCAGGTATATAATGTGCTAGGTCTAGATATTCGGAGGGGAACGCTTAAAGAGGACAGTTTAAGTTCAGAATACAAAGACTGAATCGATTTTAGGCAACTGGCAACTTGCTTTTCGAACGAAATACAATTAGGATTAATTAGAGTCCGGTTATATTTTAATTAGCATTTGGACAGACCCGTGCGAAGTGCTGTTATGCAAATGACAAACACTTTGATTGGCAGCTGGAGGGCGCGGGTGGGCGCATTGGGAATGGGGCAATGCGAACGGCAAATGGCAAATGGCAAATGGCAAATGGACGGGCTGCAAAAATGACTTCCAGTTGCAACTTGACGACAACTTTGCTGCAACTTAATTACGAGGGGGAGCGGCAAAGGGACTTGAGATGCCGGACAACGACTGCTTTTTGGGGCTGCCAGCTGGCGGCGGACTTGCAACTTGCAACTTGCAACTTCGAAGTTTGCTTAAACAATTTTGCGCTGCATTTGGCCAAGAACTGAAAACTTTGCAGCTGCTTATGGAACAACAATAGCAACAACAAGGATGCAAAAACCCAAATCCCAATCGCAATCCCAAATCCAAATTCAACTTTCGTCGTGCTATCCGCAAATTCGCTTTTGGGCAGCTGTGCCTATTGCACCAAGAGCGACGTCCACAACGGGGTGAGCGTTGGAGCGAAGGATAGCATATTAAAGCATTTACTCTGTCCACCCACAGCTCAAAGCTAAGTATGAAAATATTGATATCTATCTATATTTTGCTTCGCTAACAATTCCCTAAAACTTAAAGCTCCTAAAGGGTGGCAAAGCGCCTTGCAAAGCTAGAGTCGTAGGCAAAGTCCTTTCATCGGCGCGTAAGACAGACGTGTCCAGGATAATAAGACGATAATCGAACCCCTCAAAAGAAAAACATGTTGAAAGTTTGGGAAGTTACTAAGTAACTTTTCGAATCCCTTTACAATGGATCCTATGGTAAATAGCACATTTAGCAGAAAATTATTTAAAATTAATATCACATAAAAAGTATATAAAAATTAACATGAATTATTCAAAATCCATGTCAAAGGTGTTCAGGTTAATGTAAGTAAATTTAAACAACTTTCGAAGTCATAGTTCGAAGAAACGAAAACATTTTCGAAAAGTAGAACAATATTATTGCAAGCTAAAACTTTGATTGCTTGTTTGAAAGAGCGTGATTTAGCATTTAGTCTTCAAATATATAAAAACGAGACGATTATATCAAAATCACCATCAAAATTAATTGTGGCCCCGCGTCGGAAATTTACATTTAATTATTTTCGAAATAGAAACAATGTTACCAGCTTCAATATAGCTTGAATCTCATTGAGCGCCATGTGATTTGTGCGACAGAGCGAGATAGCTGCTGTGCTTTGCTACTCACTTCTCTCCTACTGCTGAGCCAGCGCAATACTTTGCTGTCAATTAGATGTTCGGAACGTTTGCATTTGCGCTCGTGTGCAGAACTACCGTATGGCCCATTGAATGTGGCATAAAATTGCTTAATTAAATTGGTCAACTAGCTACAAGATGTAGTTTGTCATGGTTACCTAGAGCAAACTTTGATTGCTAATTGCCGTCAAGCAAAAAATAAAAAAAGAAGAAAATAAGCCATGAGAGAAGCTGCAGCTGAAGCGTATTGTTGCCTAGTTACAACTGCTGCTCGTCCTCTCTCGTTCTGTTGTCAGCACATGTGCAGCTAATTAAACGGGACATTTGACACGGTTCGCTAATTATTGTGAAATCTGCGTCGAAGAGCGATGAGAGCTGGGCCACGGGCAGAAACTTATTCAATTGTGTGTCGTATCCTGGCAACGAAACAAATTGCATTTACACACAACCCGCTTTTATCCCTTCCTTAATGCTTATCAAGAACTTTGATGGACTTCTCGTGGCTTTTGCATATGGATTGAAAAGAATATCTTAATTACCGTTTGCAAATAGCTTGCTGCATTTGCATCCAATTATCAGAAATATTCTTTCTCCAATTATTAGAGACTATAAATGAATGAACTTAAACACATTGAATTCCCTCTAAAATACCATTTGAAATAATAATTATGAATTATGAGGAAAAACACTTATTGCATACATTCGCATGAAAACATAAAAATATTTTATTGAATACCATTTTATGTCTCATTTATATTATCGCCTCGATCGGTGATAGCCAAAATGGAGATTTGCGTATTTTCCTCATTTGAAATGGGCTAAAGAATACAGAAATAAATATTAGATATCTACTAAAATAGCGGCATTAGAGTAGTTAGCAGCATTTTTAAGCAGAAATATGCGGTCACACTGTGTGGCGATCTGTTAACCCAAACAGTTGTAAGAATTTACCTGATATTGGCTGGCAATGAGTGCAACAGAGAAAAGTGACGATTTTGAGATTCGTGTGGCTGGAGTGGAGGATGGCGATAGAATGATGCAGTTCCTCCATCTACACTACTACCGGGAGGAGCCCCTTACTGCCGGTTGTGCGCCTCCTGAGCCGGACGAGGAGGATCAGAAATTCCTGCTCTCCAATTTGCCGCACGGCACCTGCCTTTTAATGTTTCACAAAGATCGTATTGTGGCCGTCGCTGTCGCAGGTCCCAAGGGGCCCGACGAGGCGGAACATCTGTTCGATGAGGCTGCAAAGCTTGCCGGCAGCAAATGGGGTCGCATTTTGGGCATTTTGGCCAGGGCTGAACGTGATGCAAACGTCTTCAGTCGCTACGGCGTGGACAGAGCTATCCATTTGCACGCCCTCGGCGTGGATGAGCAAATGCGTGGACGTGCTATAGGTGAGCGACTCGTGAACGCCCTCGCTGCCCGGGGCAAAGAGCTGGGCTATCAACTGCTTACCGCCGACTGCTCCAGCTACTACTCCAGCCGTCTGATGAAGCGCCTCGGCTACGAGCTGGTCAACAGCATACCCTACGCCAACTACGTGGACGCCGCTGGGGAGCAGCTCATTCGACCACCTGCACCCCACAAGGCCTTGGAGACACTCGTTCTACGTTTATAGCTCCATTTCGCAAGAAACTCTTATCAAAGCGAGATAGAATGAGGGGGAGACCTTATCTAAATTATAAATGAAAAGCATTGGCCCAAGACTTATCATTAATATTTTACATTAGAACAAATACTAAGTTATTGGACGCACAAGAAATCAATGATGTAATTGGGAATTGCATATGTATGTGTATATGTAAATAGTGCGACAATACTAATTATCCTAATTATACAAGAGCTAATATATGTACTTAGTTGTAGTTAGAACTGTTACCTGTTATATACAAATACAGTCTAGTTACCGTAGCAACTTGACCTTAAGGAATGGGAGCTGCCGCGTCCTGCTCTTAGCTGCTTTAAAATTAGCAACATTGTTGACAGATAGTCAAAGGATGTGCGTGCTTTTCATAATTGAGTTCAGATTACGCCGTAAGTCGTTGGAGATGATGAAAAAGGAATCCTGCAGCAGGATGCAAATTAGACGGAGAAGGCAAACGTGAGCCTTGTTAGTGAAGCAGAATGGTCAATAATAAAGTGTTATATATGTATGCGTATAGAGTTTCATTGTTACTTTGTACATAGATTGACAATGCTGCGGAGGACAGTCTTGAATTGCAGCTACAAACGTATCAGCAAATGTAATCCGCAAAAAGGAATACACAAAAGGAAGCGGCAAGGAAATGTGGCCCACTCCATGGCATTGGTCAACGGATTATGGCGCTGTTCTTGAATCCTGTTCAAGTGAAATCGAGCGCATGAAGTTTAAGTGCCGGCCATTGTCCAACGAAATTTGGCGTAATTGGAGCAAAGCTTTTGGAGGAAACTGCGCGCGATGGTGCACGGGGTAGTCCAAGGTCAGGGCCAAAAGGGAAAAGGAAAAATACTAACCGAAATTGTTCAAACAAATCAACTAAAAATAAAGAAATGCTGCACAATAAAAGCATTAACAGTGTGTGCGAGTGAGAGAGTGAGTGTGTCCTTGAACATTGTGTGCCAAATGCATGGGCATCTTGGGCGCGAGGGAGCGAAGTGACAGGCAGCGATAGCGGCAGCGGCAGCGGTAGCGTAGCTTAACACACACTTCAAGCGCGAAGCGAGCCACAGTCACGTACATTTTATAAACTTGATGGCACGTCAGGCCCTTTGTCCATGGCTGGCGTAGTGCCTGCTCGCTTGCTCCTGTTTGCTATCGTTTGGCTGCGCGCCTCCTTGCGTTCGTCAACTGCTGCGCTGCGCTAGCAATTCGCCGCAAAGCTTCCCTTTTTCGCCGCATACACCATTTGGCCGTCGCTGCTGCTACTGCTGTTGTTCAAAAGCAGCGTTCAATGCTACCGAAATGCCAGAACAATTCGTGCCGCGTGCGCGTTCGGTTCGTTTCTTTTAGCAGCGGCTTAACTTGCTGCTGCTCAGTTGCCAATTGCCAGTTGCTGCTGTTTGTCAGTGTTTTTGGTTTGAACGTGCTTCACAATTTTGTTAAGTGTGTGTGTGTGTGTGTATGTGTGTGTGTGTGTGTGTGTGTGTGTGTGTGTGTGTGTGTGTGTGCGTGTATGTGTGTGTGTGTGTGCTCATGTGAAAGTAAACAACAAGCCGCATGGCGCCGGCAAATCTAAGAACCAGTCAAATGTGAAGTAAACCAACACTGCACAAAAACAAAAAAAGTCGAAAATGGCGCTGAGCAGCGGCAACGCAGCCTAAGTCGAAGTCGAAATTCATTCGTTGATTGAGATTCGCGCGATTTGCTTTGCACGGCCATTTTTCAAATTTGTTTTGGTTTTTTTGTTGTTTGTTTTTTTTTTACAGTGCTATTCAACAGTAACCGTCGCCGAAACTCTGAAAAACCACAGAAGAAAGAAGAGATATCTGAAATATAAACGTCAGCTCAAAATGCCGCGTGAACTGTTGCAAAAACGTGTCCGCATCAGCCGGCTGTGGATGCTTCCGCTACTGGGCCTGTGCCTGGCCAGCTTTGCTTTGCGCTGCGATGCGCGTGCGGTAAGTGCCTGATGCAATCCCACCCCTCCGCCCTCTGATCCCTCGCGCTTGCCTAGACAAGAGCTATTCATGGCTTGCCACACATTCCACACGAAGCTGCCCCGAAAGCCCTTGCCGCTTGACTCAATCGCCATCGCGATTACTTTGTTTCGCCCAGCTTGTTTAAGGATGTCGCGCACAAAGCGCAATTGATAGATTAAGTGCCTTGAACGAGCGTTGAGCGTTTAGCATCTAATTCACTTTGGAATGCTTTATTAATGGAACAGCACTTCTAGGAAATTCTTTGCAAGTTTGCGCGCTTTAGACTGCGGCCCACTAATTACCACTTAACAAGATTTGACTGTCTAAAAGGTGTTTGCATTCACCAACTTTTCAGACAGTTAACTTGCTTAAGTGTCGACGTCTAAAGTTATTCCAACTGCTCATTATATTTCTCTAGGAACACGAACAGGCGATTTGCCTGTTTATTTCAAATTCATTAATCTAAGAAGAAATCAAGTTAAGAACTTTCTTATGCTGCATAATAATATAGAAATAATCCCATGGTCAGTTCTTCAAGGCATGTCAGATAAGAAGAATTCTCTTTTATAATCTCCAAAAGAAAGCATCCCAAAACGACTGACAAAAGACAAACATCTATAAGATCTATAAAAAATAAAGAAAAAATACTTTTATCTTTTCCTTTAACATTGAATTATAATATAATAATGAATCAGGGAAATCTATAGAAATAAATTATTTGACTTGATGGCATTTATACTCAAGAGCTCATTACTGTGCATAGTATATATATATATCGACATCCAGCACATATATTCTAATATAATATTTAATTTTTATATAGATAATAAATCATTTATATATATAGATAGAACTATTCTTTTCAGATCTGTTCATCAAATTTTACACTTTATAATTCAATGAAATACAAATAGAAGCTGAAAATAGAGAATATATATAGTATACCAATATATATATCATATATATCTTATGTTTAGATATGGTTGGTAAAACGTCTGTTTACGTTGCATTTAATATTCAGTTAAATTTCCGATGGCTTGCCACAAATTGTGCCTCGCCAAGAACAGTTATGTGCAGATAAAGCGGACCGTAAATGGGACGATTTAGGCGATGGTTAACAAAAATTGTTGCCTCTGACAAGTCGGGCGCCAACAAGTCGTGGGCGTGGCTGGTGGGTGCTTGTGGGGTGTGTCCTCTGATTCTGGCAGCATTTCAAAATTCGAATTGCCCAATTTATATGCGCAAAGTTCTAACTCCCCTCCCCTCTATCTATGTGCGTGTGCGTGTGTGTGTGTGTGTGTGTGTCTGCGTGTGTTTTTTTTCCTTTTTGAGTAAATCAAAACGTGAACTCTTGGCTAGCCAAGTCAAAAGTTGTTGTCTCTAGGGGTAAGCGACGCGAGGGGCGATGGGGCGACGTCATCGTCGCCATTGTTGTCGTCTGCCTGGTAACCGACTCTGCTAGGCCTCGCCTCTTCTTGTGGCGCCCCTACCGTCGGCTGCCCCTCGCCCATGGTCAGTTGAAATGCCTCCTGACTGGCGACTTGTTTTGGTTGCGGGGTTTATCCTTTCGACTGGTTCGCCCCTTCCCGCCTCGTATGGCCTCTATACTTCAGTTACCAATGCCAATTTTTCTTTTGTTTGTTTTGTTGCTGTTATTGTTGTTGCCGTTGTCGTTGCCGTTGTCGTCCAACCGGCCGTAAGGGCGCTACGAAATGAATAATTTCAGGGAATTTACTAGAAAATTTTATTCATATAAATCACAAATTAAATAAGTTTTTACGACGTTGTTCAGCGGTTGTGCCAGGCCACTACAAAACTTATTTGTGTTCTCAATTCTTGTGCTGTGAATACCCTGTAAATGTCAAATGCATCCGAGAGGCACTGACCGCCTGCGACACGACTGCAGATGTTGTCTCTCTCTCTTCATTTTCCATTTGGCTTTAGCTTAATCCGCATTGACTTAGCCTCTAAGCTGAGATTGCTAACGAGTCTCACAAGGAAATTGACGTTCTGTTTCGGGCTTAGATTCGTCTGTTGGCTCTAGATATTACGAGTCGCCTCAATAAGGGGTTGTGCTTATTGACTTCGACTATGGCTAGGCGTATGCGTAATATCAGCTGACGACTCACCTCTGCTCCTTCCGGCCTTCGAGTTAGTCCCAAGTTCTGGAGTATCTCCCAGTCGAGTTAAGCAGTGTTAATGCATTTCAACTTGCTATGCTTTTTGCTGTTGTTGGTACGTCTACAGCATTTCTGAGGGTTGCCTTGCGGTGCCTTTTTTGTATGTAGTCAAACAGCCCCCGTGCTCCTTGCCCTACCCCGCCCACTCGTCTAGCCTTTTTGGCTCGCTGCTTGCCCTTTTTTTATGGTCGTGTAATTTTTTGTTGGCCTTTTTATTTATGCTTATTATCGTGATTGCTTTCGCCCGTAACCCGGAGTCCAAGTCAGCAGCTAAAGCTGTGGAAAGGAGCTAACACACAGAGAGAGAGAGAGAGAGAAAGAGAGAGAGACTGAAAGTGTCTCTTTAGCCGGTTTGGTGGTCATTTTGGTTTTTGGGTTTGCTGCTTGATGCGACAAAATGTTGCAGTTGCGTTTGGGGCCATGTTGCAGCTGCTTTAATAATGCAACATTAGCCAAGTACATGCGGCGCAGCATTTGAAGCTGCCACATCGCTTGGTCGCTTGGCAAGCAATTTACGCTGTGACCGCCGCAACAACATGCAATTAATCATAGCCGCAGCCAATGCCAAAGCTGCTGCCCCACATTCAGTTCATTCAACCATCAAACCAGCCACCCACTATCTATGTGTGTGCCGTGGCAAGGACGAAACCTGGCGAAGGACAGCGCAAAAAAGTCGTAGCATGCTGTAAAACTAAAAAATAAGGAAAATGCCATGGAAATGGCAATGGAAATGGAAATGGGAATGGAAATGGAAATGGAAATTTGGTAAACGCCTCTTCTCTCTTCTCTTTTCTTTTGTTTTCTTCTTCTTTCCTTTTCTTTTTTGTCCCTGACCTTGCGACTATTTCGCACATCAAATCATAATTTATGATCGCCAAAACCGAGGAGACACCAGCAGCAGCAGCAGCAGCAGCAGCAGATGATGTGGGCTCAAATTGAGAACAAAAACCAGCCCCGCCCCTTCCAGCGTCTGCTGCCTGGCGCCCACATAATTATCGCCTTGATTTATGGCAGCATTTTCGCAGCCAATTACAAAGTGAAAAAAAATATGGAAACGGAAACGGAAATCACATGGCATGTGCTGCATGTGGCACACACACACACACACACACACACACACACAGTGTGAATGCTTTTGATTGAGGCCATCATCAGATTGCGTGCCATGCAAATTGCCTTCGTACTCACCTTCAAAGCAGTCAAATAGTTGAGCGTAATCCAAGTAGAAGGCGAAGAAGCACGCGCAAGGTGAACAAGGTGAGCAAGGCTCAAGCAGCTTAGGAAATCCACTCAACTCCAAGCAGCCAGTTGACTGGCTTATTAACCAGATAGAATTTCTGAAAAATAACTTGCGAAATAGTTGCACTGAAGAGCTCCTGCATAGGCTATGAAGCCCCGTCTAAAGCGGCTCTAAGTGGGCTATTCCATTGCTGTCACCTGAGCGTATCGAAAGCGAATTCAACAAGTTTCATTTGATTAACTTGAGTTGGCTAAGAGTGAGATTAGCGAGAGCTAACTCTAAACGAAACTTTTCTGGTTCACTTTTCTATAGAGACTCTGAGAAATATAGCCAGATTATAGACTGAACAATATGTGTGCATAAATCTATATATTAAGTACGAGATTCAAAGTCCAAAAAACAAAAAAATTTATGAAATGTTTTCGATGGTAGGATGTGTATAAGACTAGCTTTCAATATAATCACATCAGTAGCTAATGTCATTGGGCTTTATGCCACTATACAAATTCAAACAGGAGGAGTCTGTAGGAAGGACAGACCAGAGGGTAGGGCAGAGTGGGGCAGAGTAGTGTGAGGCAATTGCATTTGGCATTGAAAGCGCCATTTGCTGCTGGTTTCCGCATCAGCTAACAGCGAACAGCGAACAGTGAACAGCTAACAGCCATGAGCTATCTGCTTTGTCTTGTGTGTTCGTCCTGACAGCCGGTAATCAACTCAGTTGCGCCTCGTCCTTTGACCCCGTTCGGCAGCTACTGAACGTTGCGTATGCGGGTGCACTGGCATTTGCAGTTGGTTTATTTTGCTGCGCGTGCTGCCAAGCTTGACACAAAGCTAACGCGCCACCACTTGCCACTTGCCACTTGCCACTAGCCCGACCCCACTCGCCGCCCACTTCCCGCTGCCCGGGCTGAGGAGGTCCCTTGGCGGCGCCTTTGAGCGACGAGGTCCTTTGTTTAAATGCGCTGCACGCCTCGTTATGCACAAACAAAGCGCGGCGCTTCAATTTGGCAGCAAATTATAAAAGGCAGCGGCAACAACTTTGGCTAGAACTTTAGCTACAACTTTAGCTGTAACCATAGCTACAGCTACAGCTACATCTACAGCTATAGCTATAGCTATAGCTATATTATATTAGCACTCTGATTGATCGGTAGATAGTTTAAGCTGTGCCTCGATTGAACTTTAACTGACGGGCTAAGCTATTAATCAATGCCAGCTGAAGGAACAATAGCTGAACAGGTTTCAATCGGCTGTTATTGACTGGGCAATGCTCGTTCGCTAATCAGCTTGATAATGGACAGTTCAATAACAATTGGAAGCAATGCGGCTCGACTGCCAGATACACTGTTTACATTACCATCAAAGTAGGCACAACAAGAAAGGGAACTGGAAAGAGAGTGAATGAGAAAAGAAGCTAGAGAGAGAGAGAGAGACAGAAAAGCCAAAAAAGCCTTGTACGAAGGAGAGAAAAGGCTGCAGAGGAAGAAAGAAAGATTGGGCAATAAAAGTGAGAGAGAGAAAAGAAAAATTGATAGCGAAAGGCGAAGAAAGAGAATTTG